GGGGGACCACAGGGGGTCGTGGGGAGACGAGGGGGCCACAGGGGGGCCATGAGGGCTGCAGGGGAAGTCAGTGGGCTGCAGAGGGCCGTGGGGAGATGTCAGTGGGTTGCAGGAGGCCGTGGGAAGACAGGGAGCTGTGGGGGGGAGACGGGGGGGCCACAGGGGGCCGTGGGGACTGCAGAGGGCCATGGGGAGATGAGGGGGCCACGGGGGGCCGTGGAGGCTGCAGAGGACCGTGGGGAGCCGGGGCGTCGCGTGGAGAGATGGGGGACGGCGGGGGCAGTGGGAGCCGGGGGGCCGCACCTTGAGGTTCTTCCACCAGTACTTGCGCTTTAGCTTGGCGGCGCTGGTCTCGAACTGGGAGGCGCCGGCCTGCAGGGCGTCGGCTCGGTCGTCCAGCTCCGACAGCTTCTGGTCCCGCTCCAGCACCTTGTCCACGTTCACCCGCATTATATCAACCACCTGGGGGGGGAGGGGGGGGAAGCGTCAGACACAGGGAGACCCGGCCAGAGAAGGGACCCAGGTGTCCGGAAGCCGCATGCCACCCCCTGAACTCACCTCGTCCACCTGGGCTTGGGTCTGCTGCAGCCTCCGGTTGCTGGTGAGGTTGGGGGGTGGTGGTGGGGGGCCACCCCCTTCTCCTCCAGCGGCGGGGGGCACAGCAGCAGTGGCCGACCTGGGGGGCAGAGGGCAATGGTCACAGTGACCCCGCAAAGGAGAAATAGCCCCAAACCCAGCCAGCCTCAGTGGGCACTGCCCCTCGCTTTCACACCATAGCCCCTCACTCCCACCCATAGCTCCCCTCTGCATTGCCAGCGCCCCTCGATCCTATCCCATAGCCCCTCACTCCCACCCATAGCCCCCCTCTGCATTGCCAGCGCCCCTCGATCCTATCCCATAGCCCCTCACTCCCACCCATAGCCCCCCTCTGCATTGCCAGCGGCCCTCGATCCTACCCCATAGACCCTCACTCCCACCCCATAGCACCCCATTGCCCCTCAATCTCACCCCATAACCCCCCACACACCGCCACTGCCCCCCAATCCCGCCCCATAGCCCCTCACTGCCACCCCATAGCGCCCTGGTGCCCTCAATCCCACCCCATAGTTGCCCCCAGCAATGCCAGCACCCTTCAATCCTTCCCATAGATGCCCTCCACTCCTGGACTGCCAGTACCCCATAATCCTGCCCCATAGCCAGCCTCTCCCTGCAGCCCCCCTAGCGTCACAGGTGCCTCTCTATCCTGGTTTTTTGGGCGGCGGGGGGGGGGGGCGGGCTGTGGGGCAGCACCGGGGAATGAACCCCTAGAATTTATCCCCGCCGGGCAGACGTAGGCTGCGATCAGCTGGGTAACGACCCAAACCCAGTGCCAGGGAGAGATGCAAACGGGGGCTGCACTGGGGAGGGTTCTGGGAGGGGAGTGGGGGCTGGTGGTTAGAGCAGGGCGGGCTGGGAGCCAGGACTCCTGGGTTCTCTCCCCGGCTCTGGGAGGGGAGTGGGGGTGAATGGTCAGAGTGGGGGGACTGGGATCCAGGATTCAACTTTCAGGCGAGAAGCGTTCATCGGACCAGCCCCAGAGACACCCCCCCGCGGGGGGCCGGGAGGGGATTTGCCCCGGCTGCGGCGTGGGTGAGCCCGCGACCAGCCCCTGCTTCCAATGCGGGCAGTTTTCCCAAAGGACGCCGCAGAGTGGGGCAGAGAAGAGCCCAGAACCGAGCCGAGAGGGGCCGTGGCGGCATCTGGGGAGTGTCTCTGGGAGGACTGGCCTGCGGAGGAAATCCCGGGGGCGCCAGACACAATCGGGCCCCGGTGTTTAACCGGGAAGGGGAGGGACCCTTGGAACAAGCTGCCCGGGGCAGAGGGGGGCTGGTCCAGTGTTTGGATCCAGCCGGGAGGCCTGTCTAGAAGGCGCGTTAGCCAAACCCAAATTACCGGCCTCCCTCCAGGGGGAAGATTCTCTGGCCTGGGTGAGCCAGGAGTCCTGGGTCCCAACCCCCCCTGCTCTAACCACCAGCCCTCTCTCCCCTCCCAGAGCCAGGGAGAGAACCCAGGAGTCCTGGCTCCCAGCGCCCCCTGCTCTAACCCACCAGCCCCCACTCCCATCCCAGAGCCAGAGAGAGAACCCAGGAGTCCTGGCTCCCAGCGCCCCCACTCCGCAGCACATAGGGAAGGGAAATTCGCTCTGGTTTATACTGTACTAACGTTTTTGTTGCCTTGCAATGCCCCAGCTCAGAAACACCATCCTACTGCGTCCTTGGGGGTGTGTGCAGACACACACACCCCCCGGGACCCTACAGCGTCCGTGGGGGCGTGTGCAGACACCCCCCAGGGCCCTGGAGCGTCTATGGGCAGACAATCCCCAGCTGTAGGGGGCTGGGGTCATCAGGAGAGGGATAGGCGGTCGCCCCTGCTAGAGAAGGAGGTTGGGGGGCAGTGAGATAGGCCCTCCCCAACACACACAGAGCTCTCGGGGGGCCCCCAAACAGGCACAGCCCCCCCCCCCAATACACGGTCAAAGACCCACAGCAACCCTGCAGCTCGTCCACTGCAGGCCAGAGAGGGACCCCGGAGCCAGGACTCCTGGGTTCTCTCCCCCAACTCTGGGATTGGAGTGGGGTCTGAGGTGGGGAGGGGTGGGACCACCGCCTTGCCCTGCCCCAATGCCCTATGCCCCTCCAACCTGCCCAGGGCCCTGTCAGTCTCACATCCCAACCCCCATGCCCCACTGCTGCCCCTTCTTCCATCCATCCCCCTCTTAATCCTCCGGCCCCTGCCAGCCCCACATCCTACACACCCCACTGCTGCCCTGTTCTCCATCCAGCCCCACATCCTAACCCCCACGGCCCACTGCTACCCTGTCCTCCATCCATGCCCCCCAGCCCCACATCCTATGCTCCTCCCACACACCCCACTGCTGCCCTGTCCTCCCTCCATTGCCCAACCCACCCCCCAGCCCCACATCCTACCCCCCCACCCCACTGCTGCCCTGTCCTTCATCCATCTCCCAGCCCCACATCCTACCCCCCAACCTGGCTCACTCCATTCTCCGTCTGTTTCTTTGTGACCTTCCCGTCTCCTCTAAAAATAAAAAATGACCCCCCCACCTCCCCGAAAATCCCGGACGGTGGGGGGCTGGGCTACAACTGGCCACGCGGCCTTCACATCGGAGGCTGGGGGGCTCTGCAGAACTGGGGGGGGGGCTGCCTCCCCACCGGGAAAGCAAAACGTGTGTGTGGGGTGGGAGGTGGGCTGCCAACGAGCGGCCATGTTCAGCGTCATCCTGCCGCCGGAGCTAAAAATACCCAGCAGGACAAACGGGGGACGCAGCCCCCCCTATTCTTGTATTGAGGGGGCCTCGGATGCCCCCTGTCTGTGGGGGAGAGGATTGGGGACCCACCCAGAAATTCAGCTGGGCTGAGGCTCTTTTTAAACCCAGCGTCCCCCGATGGGTCCCCCCCCCCCGCATGACATGAGTGGGGGGGGGGGAGATGGAGTGATAGTTTTTAAACCCACTTCCCCATGGCTAGTTCCTGCCCTCTCCTGCTGTCCCCCTCCCCAAGACTCCTGCCCCCCATCCCCCTCTGCTCCCCAACCCAGGCTCCCACCCCCCTCCCTCTGTCCCCCCCACAAGACTCCCGCCCCACCCGACAAGCCCCTGCCCCCCATCACAGGCTCCCCCCATAGCCCTGGGCCCCTACCCCCCATTCTTCTCTCTCCAGCCCTCCCTCTGCCCCTTTGCAGGGTGTCCCCCAACCCAGCCCCCTGGCACCCACTATCTTTTGTGCATGGCAGCAAACGCAGCCAGGGGCACCCCTGGGTCCTTTCTTTGCAACCGGGCTTTGCTAGCGCGGGTGCCATCGGGTGTGATGGGACCCCCCCCGCGGGTGGGGCAGGAAGTATGCGGCTAGCTGATGCAGGGGGGGGTGGGTAATGCAAGCAGAGGTGCAATGCAAGCGATCGATCTCCTTGCTATCGATCCCCTAGCCCCGTCCCTGCCCTTGCCTGGCTACACCCAGCCCCAGGGGCCCTGGCTTTTGGGAATAAGCCCCCCAAATGCGGGAACGGGCAAGGAGATCACCCGTGCACCCGGGGCGATGCATCATCCCACGCATCATTCTCCTTGCCCTGAGGATGCCCCTACCCTGCTTTGCAGAGGCCGGCCACGGGAGGGTGGGTAAGCCATCTTCCCAGCGGGGGAGCCCCGATCTCGGGTGCACACCCCAGCCTGGCTTTACGGAGATCATCCACGGGAGGGTGGATAAGCGCCCTTCCCCTATGGGGACTGGGGGGGGTACCCCGGATCTCCCGTGCACCCCGCTTTATGCAGCCTGGAGAGCACTGCACGCTATTTAGCTCCTTGCATTGAGAACACCCCAGCTTGGCTTTACCGAGCCCATCCACTGCGAAGGTGAATAAGCCCCCTTCCCTTGACAGAGGGACCCGGATCTGGCGTGCACCCCGCTTTCTGCAGCCTGGGGAACATTGCACGCTCTTTATCTCCTTGCATTGAGAACACCCCAGCTTGGCTTTACCGAGCCCATCCACTGGGAGGGTGGATAAGCCCCCTGCCCTGGACAGGGGGACCCCAGATCTGGCGTGCACCCCGCTTTCTGCAGCCTGGGGAACATTGCACACTATTTATCTCCTTGCACCCATCATGCCCCTGCCTTACTGACACCATCCATTGGGAGGGTGGATGAGCCCCCTTTCCCTACGGGGGCGAGGGGAAAGGGCCCGATCTCGCATGCCCCCAGGTTTATGCAGCCCGTGGGGCATTGAGCAGCCCCCTGCCCCCCACGTTTTGCTAAGCCCCGGGGTCGGCGGAGCCCCCAGCCCCTGCGGGGGCGGCGAGCCCGGCTCTGGCATGCACCCGAAGCGATGCAGCCCGGGGACCATTGCACGCTGCTTCCCTTCTTGCATCGGGGGCTACTCACATGTCGGGAGCGGCGGCGGCGCGGGCCGGGGTCTGCGGCGGGGCGGGCGCTCGGCGAGTGGCGCGGGTCCCTGAGCCGAGTGGGGAAGATGGCGGCCGGGCTGGCGCATCCGGGCACCTGGGCGGGTGAGGGGGGGGCAGGAGGGGGAGCTGCTGGGCCCGAGCCCTCTGCAATCAGCGCGGGGGCGGGGCAGCGCGCGGGGGCGGGGCCACGGGGGGCAGGGCAAATAATGGGCAT